TATTGGGACAAAAGGTCATTTAAATTAACCCCTTTTGATTATATTATTGTGTGTGGTTCATTTTCTGCATTTTATTTATTTCAGGTACTTATATAGCGCTATCAATTTACACAATGCTGTACATATATATATTGTACTTTCACATCAGTTAGCGCTATAACCTCATGGGGTGTCCTAACCCTCTAAGGGGTGTACAATCTAAGGTCCCTAACTCACATACTAGGACCAATTTAGACAGGAGCCAATTAACCTACCAGCATGTTTTTGGAGTGTGGGAGGAAACTGGAGTACCCAGAGGAAACCCACGCAGGCACAGAGAGAACATGCAAACTCCAGGCAGGTGGTGCTGTGGTGGGATTTGAACCAATGACCGTAGTACTGCCAGGCAGAAGTGCTAACCATTTAGCCACTGTGCTGCCCGTAATATTGTCTTTGTTTTTGGTATATTTAGCACATATTGGGGAAAAGCATCCTACAAGTGTAATATTTCGGGAAGGGAGTAACCACATTTTTTAATATTGTTCCATCTTTTAGTTCAAACGTAATACGTATCTGTTATAATACCAACAAGCTGATACTGGGCACAGATTAGGGAAATACAAAGACCAAGGTGGAGGTAGAAGGGTAAAAAAAAAATAAATCTCATTTGTTATTATTGCTATCCTGAATTCAATGGGTCAGATGTTCTTTCACTCTGTTAGTAAAATAAACAAGGGGCTTTGTGATTGTTCTAAACAGAAGCTGCCAACAATGCAGAGAAGCCTGTGTGAATAGTAAAGCACACATTTTCCAGCACTCTGTAGTCAGAATGCACAGGGGAGGAAAAGGCAACACAACCGTTGTAAGCAAAAAGCCTCCAATCCACATGATTGCGAATAAGTCAAACCTGTGTCCTCCTGACAAGACATTCTTATAGGGATGAAATCTGAAAGAAATGACTGACAAGTATGTGCACGCTTGAAATTTCTTAAAGTTGTGTAACCCTAAACAAACACAGACTGCGTTTATTTGACCAGATCCAAAGTGTGCTATACAGGATAGGCCCCTTGTTGTCTCTAGAACTATTTGCTCTGCATAATGGAAAATAAATACATATAAAATGTACCACTGTGTGACACTTCAAGTCTGAAGTGTAAGTAGCAGGCAAAACTCCTGCAGCTAAGCTCATTTACGAAAGCATACAAGTGGAGACCCTGCCGTGCTAAGGTCATTTAGGCAAATGTACTTTTATTTTGACACATATAGTGGCAGGGGCTCGTGAAAGGTACGCGGCTGAGTAATTCTGCCTGTTCTGTTCCTTTGGGGTAGTCTAACCTGCGAATAGATTAGGCATTGTTAAATGGAATTGTTTCATAATAAAAGAAGGCAAGTTTAGAAAACGTTACTTTTGGTGGGTGACCAATTTTTTTATTACTTTTTTCCGCAGAGGAGTGGTGCTCTGTAACCAATATAATTGGGCTGTGACAGAATCTCTCTCTTCCTTGTACCATGATAGATTTTTATACATATATATATATATATACATATATATATATATATACACACATACAGTATATATATATATATATATATATATATATATATATATATATGTATATAAGGGGCGGACTGACCATTTGAAAACTAGGGCACTGCCCAAGGGCCCGGGGTCAGTAGGGGGCCCCATGAGATGCCCTTGGTACCTTTTTCATAGGCTTTTTTGAGTTTGGGCAAGGACACGGCCCCATGATCCCCTATTGCCCGGGGGCCCCATGAGTTGTCAGTCCGCCCCTGATATATATATATATTTATATATATATATATATATATATATACACATACAGTATATATATATATATATATATATATATATATATATATATATATATATACACACACACACACTTACACAGATTTCTAATTGAAAAATAGTAGAAAAATAACAAAGTGTTAAAGTTTTATTATGCTGACATATCCACAAGTCTTGGCCCATCTTTCTCAATATATATATCGGGGTGTCCAAACTTTTGACTTTCCTGGGCCACTTTGAAATAAGAGGATTGTTCTGGGCCACACATAAAGTACACTAACAATAAGGATAGCTGATGAGCAGAAAAAAAATCGGGCAGATCACACTTAACTATCACTGATGTAGATAATGTACCTATCTGAGTAATAAAACTTCACTTTTCTGTAATATTTTTGCTTATAAACAACATAAACCAAATGTGATACAGTATTTGACACTGTTTTTGATAAACTAACATACCAATATCTGGTTCGATGAATGTAGTAGCAATTCTCTAGGTGCTCATCAGATATTTTGGTTCTAATTTTGCCCTTTGTGTGCTTCATCCTTGAAAATAGTTGCTCACAAATATAGTGCTGCTGGAAACTGAAGACATGAATAAGGTGTGATTTTGAAGAGTGGGATATTTTTCTTTGGGAAGATAAAACTATAAGTCCAGTCCAGTAAAAATACACTGTCACATTTTTCTTCGGACACATGTGTTCACTAGGTGTGAACAAAATTTTACAAAAAATTCCCCCCCAAAAATCAAAATGTTTAAGTAAGTTTATGATTTGTGTTGAGCCACATTCATAGCCATCTTGGCCTGTGGGCCACAGGTTGGACACCCCTGGTATATATTGTATAATCAATAGCTCATATATGTATACATCAATAGGCCAACAAAGGAGAAGAGTGTAACTTGCTTTACTTAGACACTCCTCAATCTGCATTTGGCTTTGGGTGTAAACCGACTGGTCTTGGGTGCAAAGATGATGATGTGGGCGCGATGTGTACTTGTAGCATAATAAAATATTTGTTATGACCTTGACTGGAAAATTGTATTATCAGTAAATGCACATTTGCGTTATTTTGTAAAATTCAATTAAAAGTCATTTTTGATGACTTTCATATTTTTCTTGCTGGTTGGAAATTATTTTTACTATTGAATTACTGCTTTTACTTATTGAATTACTAAGTGTTGCATATATTCTTCTAAAGGTTCTCCCTCTAGTGGCTATTAGCAAATCAGTTGTTAGATGACATCTGGGGTAAAAGGGTAAGCCACATAAGAGTGGATTGTTTTAGTAGATTTAGTAGACTTTACTAATATTATTTTCATTAAATTGATCACAAAAAGGGATTAGCAAATCTGGTAAAAAATGCTATTTTTTATTTTTATTTTTTCAAATTGTCAGGTAAAGTGATATTAAATTGCTCCCTGAGGGGATAGTTTTATTTCTTTCAAAACTAGAAAAGTGACAATATACAATATTATCTGCATAATGGAAAATAGGTGTATTAGTACATTAAATGTAGTTTGATATGAACTTTTTAAATTAATCTTTAATGCAGAATATTTAATTATATATATATATACTTATTGCTTTTAAACTGCTGTTTAACTGTTTTAGCTACATGGCGTTAAAAATAATTCTTTGTATTATACATAGTTAGCCTATTTCTCTACTTGGAATTCTGGTTCTGATATTCCTAAGTCTGTGGCAAGGATAAGCCAAAAAGACTGAGCTGTGATGTCAGTTTTCACAATATTTATATATATATATATATATATATATATATATATATATATATATATATTATATGTAGAAAACACACAAACACATATATAAAATCCATGTAGTATCTCTAGACTACATATTTTGTACTATTCCTTTATTACTTTTAATAGTAATATGGATTGGCTTTGTGTGGCTTATATTTGAAAGAAAATGAATATACATATGGTACATATACAACATACGCGACAATCATTTCGGATCATAGTATACTGCAAAATAGTTCAGGTGAAGTGTTTCTTATGATACACAGTACTTTCAAACATATCGGAAAAAGTTAATTTCCCTCCACAGTGATATCTTTCTCCAAGTACTGGTACATAGACACCACCTGTCATTCTGGGTGGGAGATATGCCTATCTCTGACCACCCATGATAATATAGTGTTAAGGCTACACAATGCTGAATAGGCCAAAATACGATCAAGACTGCATAACATATGAAAACAGCACTGTTAAGAGCTCTCAGGTCTGCATAGGGAGATAAAGTGAGCTGGCAAAGATCCTGATGACTAGATCCTAACACTAAGCCCAGGAACTGACCCAAGCAATGTAAGCACCCTATAAGAAAGAAACCAGATGCAGAATCAAGGTTTCCTCTTTAAGAGCTGCTTTGAAAATGCTGACAACGTTTCTGTATGCTGCCTTCAGCATTTCCAAGCTCAAGGGGCCAGGCAGGAACATGGCAGGGCGATGCAGAAAGTAAAAAAAAAACAAAAAAAGCTAAAATAAGTACACCCCCTCATTTCCAATGACCTGTCCAAGCACAGCAGAAATCGCATAGTTGGTGTTGGTGCTTGGATATGCAGTAAGTTAACTAAAGTGTAGGAGCTACATGTTGTTTGCTGCTGCTGCTGCTAAACTAAATTCCTACTGACTTGTAAAAGGTGAATAAATTAACTTGAAGAAGTTTCCAAATATTTTACTTAGACATTGAAGTTACCATTTGTCTGGAAATTTTGCGGCCAATAAACAATTTTCAATACACTGTTCATTACCTTTTCATGTGTCATAATAAAGGTCATGTTGTTAAATCATTAAGTCAAGTGATAAGTCAAGTATGCATCCCTGTATAGAAGCCAAAGTTGATAAGTACTCCTTGATGTTGCTAGATTTATTACCAGTAGCCCCCTAATTCTGCATAAATGCAACCCCCTTGTGTTTTTTAATAAACAAAAACTAACTCTGTTAGGATAACTGTACCTTAGCAAGCAGAGGAACTCCATGGGGGTACACTTGTTGAGAGATCTGAATCTAGTTTACTAAAGATCAATACAGTATATTCTATGATTACTTACACATGTCATTTTATCACCATTGGCTTTCAAGGGGTCATCTCTTTTAATAGAACATGGGTACTATACATTCTGCTAGCATAGACATGATGTGAGCCAGCATATTGATAAGCATCAAGGCTGGAAATATTTCACTGACCTTTGTCACTTCCATTCTGTGGAGGTGATGAAACAGGATTCCTAGACCTTGCAAATGCACTCATAAGAGGAAGAGATCCTGGCCGATGATTCCTAGGCCTGTCAAATAACAGAAATAAGTCAATCCCAAATTTGTAGATGACCATAAGCTAAATACTGAGACATCACCAAGGGAAGATCAAAATAAATATGCTTTTTCAAAATCTGTGTATCTATTTAAAAAGAAAAGTACAATGGCCTAGCTGGGTCTACATAACACTACTAAAAAATGCCCCAATGATAAAATAAGCAACAAGCTTAGGACTTCTAAAGCAACCAGAAACATTCTATGACAAAAAATGGAACTTACAGATGGGTCTGATATGGCAAATAAGTTCCAGTGCTATACTAGCTCTAATGCTGATACCAAGCAAACTGCAGAAGAGCGAACAAAATATACTTTCATTATAGAATATCCACTTTTATAAATGTGTTCAATGCATGTACTGTTTTAAGCTAGTATCACGAGGTTGAAAGGACTGTCTTTTTCCTTCACGTTTTTGTAAAATGAAGTGGATTAGACACAGGAGAATAGGAGATAGCAGAGTAGGGCAGCTTAGAGAACTATTGTTCTCCAGGCAGAGATGTATTAGTAACATACACACTGTCTGCCAAAAATGGATGTCAGAAGAAGGTCAAGCAAAAGTGCTGTTTTTTCAGATCTCTGTGCTATCCTGCTCTGCCCTCTGCCTCTCTCCCATCGCTCACCTGTTTGTTTACAGAAGCCTGATAAGGGAGAGGTGGTCCTTTAGGAAACTGCGTGAACAAGCCCATACAATTGCTTCTTACATTTTATTTCAAATATTCCCAATATTTTCATATTCGGCCTGTTTACTAAAGGGAGTTGAACACCTGAAGACCTACAAAGGCAGTATGATATAGATGCATGATCTGACCCTCGTCATCAACCTAGCCGACCAAGGGTCCATGATGGGATGGAGGAGGATGATTTTTTGGCACCACCATTGGTAAAAAAAAAAAAATCAGACTCAATCAATCAAATAAATGTTTTTTAGCTTCTTTTACCAGACTATGTCACCATTAGTCTTTGTCTACTTCAAATATTCGTCAAAGTTAAAAGAAAAAAAAAATCAAATAAGTTTTCCCATAGTCATGCTTGGCTATCTGTAATTATATAAACATGAACGCAATTTGCCTCATGTAAAACATTATATATTTACTAATTGACTCCCGATGTATATTTAAATACAAACACAAGTGGCTTTACTAAAAAATGCTCAAATAAAAACAGTAGCTGTTTTATATATTCATTTTAGTAACTATTCATCCTCATTTCTGCTTTGCATATACCGGTTTAACAAATTCTTGATATCCCTGTGCAAACAATTTGCACTGAGGTCTGAGGCATGCAGCCACTTGCACTTAAACTAAAGTCAATACAGTGCAAGTGCTAGTGAAGATTTTGTTTTTGCAAGTAACCTTGTTCATAAAATTGCAAATATAAGGTTATTTAACTGCATAGTGTTTGTTCTCTTCTAGAAATGAAGCTTGTATATGCCCATCTATTAAAATGGAAATAGTCAAAACACTTTTTTTTTTATATTTTATATAAAGTGTACTGAGAGAGGGATTTTTTTCAGCTCTGCAACTATTTTTCACAAGAATGTCTTTCAGTAGACAATACTCACCAGTCTTCTGGGTCACAGTCCCGGAAGCCCTTGGCAAACGGATTGCTAGCAATTTTAAGTTGAGTGATCTAGGAGGAAGCAAAAAAGAAATTAAAAAACAAAAAAAGAATATTATATATATAAGTATTCTGTAAATTATCAACTAAATATCAAAAACAAAATTCATTAATTCATTCAAAGTCTGGTAATAAAGAACTTTCATTTGAGGACTGCAATTAGTTTAGGTGTAGATTCAACAGTCAACATTTACTGATTATTTAGCTGAATTGACTGAAGTTCCATAAATTGTGGTCTTTAATCTCTCTCAGATTTTGTCTTTTGGATTAAATGCATTGGAATCAATGGGGAAGGAGAAATTAAGGTGGTTTTTTAAAGATGCAGTGGGCCTTAGATGGTGTCTGAGGGTTATGGAAGCTCATTTCAACTACCCCCCACCTGTTCTTGTGCCAAAATGGCCTCTCGTTAGCCTCATTATTTTACATATTTTTAACAGAAAGAAAAAGAGAGGGAAAAAAGTTTAATAAAAATGTAAAGTCTGTACATAAATAACATTTAAATAGACACAAATGCGATTTGGAAATGTTATGGCTAAATTAAGTAAGTCCTATGTACAGTGGCAGTTTTCAGATTCTATGAGCATTTGCTGCAGTTTACAAATTCCAGGTGCCTGGGTTTATGAGATATATTATTCTCTAACAGATCACACATTTTGGGGTAGATTTACTAAAACTGGAGCATGCAAAATCTGGTGAAGCTCTTCATGGAAACCAATCAACTTCTAGGTTTTATTGTCAAAGCCTAATTGAAGAAGCTGAAGTTAGAAGCTGAATGGCTACCATGGGCATCTTCACCAGATTTTGAGTGCTCCAGCTTTAGCAAATCACCCTCAGTATGTGATTTACAAAAGTTTTCAGATTTGCAAAGAGATTCGCACTTATCTATTTATTGTGAGCTATAAAAACAGAGACATTTAAGCCTTTTTAGTTTTCATCTATTAAAATAATTACATTATTTAAAAAGTTAAAGGATAGTTTACTGAGGCCTTGTTCGTATATACGCTATCTATCTATCTATCTATCTATCTATCTATCCATACACACACCTTTCTAAAATGCATTTTAATTTTTATGTGTTTTGATATGCAGAGCGATTGATGATGCCATTTAAATGAAACATGTATGTGAACTCAATTCATGACTTTTTTAACGCAGAACGCCTGTCTGCATATATGTGAATTGTGAGTAAAACAGTTCAGTTCCTATTTGTGTTCTTCTGTGATGTGCTGTTGACATAAACTGACTAAAATTGGGGTTAAAGTGTTACTAAACCCAGGACCCTGCATTGACTCTGTCTGGTCTCCCACAGTACACACTACATGGAAGTACAATTATTTTAATAAATTTAAACTGCTAAATACCTTTTCTCATCATCAGTTAGAGCAGTCTCGTGACTTCTATCAGTATCCAGCAGAACACATGTTAAAGCTTATAGGAGGAGTTTTCATTCTGCTCTAGAAAGATGCAGGACACATGACCTCTGTTTGGACAGTGCTGATTGACCCTATGCTGATCACATGCACCTCTCTAGCAATACACACCAAACTGAGTATGTGCAGAGTGACTCCACACAATATGTCTTATCAGGAGATAAGAGGGGGACACTCTAAGAAGGGCAGGATCAGAGAAGTCAGGATCAAACAGTGTATTTATACAATGCGGAGGATTAACCCCTTAGGTTCCACAGTGAATATAACAAGCATGTTTTACTGTATATACAGACTGAATTTACTGTTGTGGGTTTAGTAACACTTTAACCTCTTTTTAAAGTGTTGTTGGAGCAGATATGGAAAAATAAAAGCAAAGCACCTGTCTATAGTAATACTTTTTCATGTTTTATTTTTCCTAAGCTAATAAGAAAATGAAAGTGTATAACTAGCTGGTAAAGGCTCAGACTCTGTTTTGTTTATTGCAATTTTATTTATTAAAGTGCCTTCAAAAATATAGCGGTTTTGGTTGACTTTATTTTACATTATTAATTTTTTTAACTGATCTTTTACCTTTTTTAATATTTACATTTCTTGCAATTATTTCATAAATGAATATTCAACACAGGGTATACCGATGACACTGATGCAGTGGCGTCCCGAGGCAGGTGCGGGGGGTGCGCTCCGCACCGGGTGACACCTACTGCATAGGGTGATACCGGACCAGCTCCACGAAAAGGTAAGTTGTAAAGCAAGCTGACAATAACCCCAGGATGGATCCCATCCATTCTGCGGGGATTGTCGGCTTTCTTTACAACTTACCTTTTCATGGAGAGGGTCCGGTGTCACCCCGGATAGGTTGCATAACGACGTTCCCCGCAGGATGGATTGGATCTGCGAATTGGAGAGCATAATGGATCGGAGTCCGTTCCATTATGATCAATCCGCAGATCCGATCCTTTCTGCCGGGATCGTCGGAGGGGGTGTCACCAAGTGTTATCACACCGGGTGACACCAACCCTAGGGATGCCCCTGCACTGATTTTCTGAGGAGATGAATTTCAATATGAAGCAGGGAGGGGACAGATTCTCTCATCTGACTTATTCACTTGTATGTGTGGATTTCAGCTTTAGTTATTGACCTCTATACAGTGCAAGCTTTTTTTTAGCAATTCAGTTAATGACAGACTGATAAATGGGCACCACCTGCTGGACAAACATTTCTATGCATTTCACATTACCAAGGCTGGACTGCAGGATCAGTGACAAGCAGTTACTTACAAGTGTTGTGGAAAGTTGCAGATTGAAGTCTAAGGACACTAGCAAACCTGTTACTGGTAACAACTTACTAGTGACCGGATGGCTAGAGAGGCCCACAAAAACACTAAAAACCATTCACTTGTTTCTAAAACATCATTTCCCCACTGACTGGTGCAGCGAGGCACTCACTGCTCACTGCTGATTCACTGTTGAGGGAGATGCTGCAGTATTCCAACCAGTGAGGGAACAACACAGCAAGATAGCCATGTTGTAGATACAGGTACTTTCCACTTATGCTCTCTCTACAGATCCATTCACTAGTGAGTTCGTGCCAGCAGCAGGATTGCTACTATGATATTGTTTATTAAGACTTGGCTGGAAATAGAAACATTAAATCTTTCTATGTAATTTTTTATAATTACCTGACTAAAAGGACAGCAAACATATTTTAATTTTGTATCCCGAACATAATAATAAGAATTAAAAGAAGTAGAGAATGGTAATTTAGCAATGTGACGCTAAGTGAATTTATTTGAATTATCCGGTCATATGTAGGGTTAAGTACTGTTTATTTAATTTCCCCTGTACATAGCTGGGTATAGGAGCTTCACTATTCCAAATGCTTTTTGAACTCTCTTAGTACATCAATCTCAGAGAATAAATACTACAGCTCAAGCTGAGGTGAAAGTTAGTTATTACTATAATTTTTAAGACTCAGCTGTGTTGATTTACTAAACAGGTCTTTTTCCACCACGTTAAACACCCACTTGTTTCCAGGAGAATGTAAAAATAAGAATTTCCGTTGCACTTGCCTGGATAGCTGAATGGAACATAGATTCACTGGGTTAGCTGAAAAGGTTACACTTTTAGTAAATCTCTTTCAATGCATTTATATTAACGTCATATAAAAAAATGACCAGCTGTTTCCTCTCCTTGAGGGGGAGAGGGGTTGTTTACTAAAAACGAAAACCGTATTCACTTTCAAGGCCTATCCGTTTATAGGGAAAATATATTCTTAAACCCATTTAGGTAAGGAAAAAAAAGATATAAAAAATGTAAATTTTTTGTATCACCCCAGTGTTCATTTTTGTGTTCTACAAAGGAAGGATTTTTTTTGTTTGTTTGTATTAAAAGTGTATTTTAAAATTGTAATTGCTAAGGCCTATTTAAAATATTCAATGTGAATATATCAAAATAAAGAGAAATATAAAGAGAAGGAATAAAACATTAAGCGGGTTACTATTTTCTAGCTTTATTTAATTAGAAGTTTTCAGGACACAGATTGTGGGACTTGACTAGAATTCCTTTCTGCTAAAATTTCTGAAAACCACTAGGAGCTGTGATAAAACAGGTCAACTGGTGCAAGGCTTTTCACACACCTTCTGATATTTTAGAAGGCTGGTTGGAAATGCCACAAAATTAGGTGAACCAAACTGATCACAGCAGTCAGGGTACAAAACTAACTAACTGATGACTAATAAAAGTGAGCTGCCAGAAAAAAAGTTTGTTAGAAAATCATTCCCTGCTGACTATAAATTTTGAGAACAAACATTAAGGGGGTTATTTATCAATGGTTTGCCAACTCAGACCCAGTATTTACCAGATATTTATGTGCCTGGGAACAGTGACAGCAAAGTAACTTGGAATTTAAATGTCAAAATCTGACTCGATTTTATTATCAAAGCAGATATATTTTTAATGGTTGAAAAATAGGACCAAAAATTCAGTTTTCTCTTCATTAGGCTTTATTACACATAGCATGAGTCATGTTAGTTTACCTTGGGTGCTATTGATGAATAATTGTGCTAAATTGGATCAATTTGTCTAATAAATAATAATTTGTCATATTCAGATTTCAGGTTTGAATTGCATTAAAGTCAATGGGGGACTGTTTTTTTTAAAGCCACGTTTGTCTCTTTGAAAAGCTGTAAGGAGATCTTTGGCAATGCAAAAGAAGAAATTTAAAAATAAAGGCATTTTTTAAATCTTCGAGGGCCACATTGAAAATGCAAAAACCCCTTAAATTACATGTTTGGGGGATGCCTTAAAGTTTTATGCAGTATTACAGAACCACCAATGTTTTCAGGGACAGAATCAGTGACCATGTAAATATTTGGCAGTGGAATTTAAGTTTTTGTCTTTTTATAATTAGCTTTGCTTACAGACAATGGGAATCACTCCAACCTATTCTTATTGTATTCATTTTAGTCACAACTTTTTCTGGTAGTTTTAGCAGCAGCAAGTGTGTTTTAAAGATTAAATAGGGTGCTAGGCAGTATGGGTTGGGCTAAAAATTGACAACCATAAATCCTATCAAAATTTGACA